AAACGTTCTATATGATTTTTCTTATAAACTGCAAATAAAATGAGTTTTCCATGTATTTTTTTTTTTTTTTTTTTTTTTTTTTTTTTTTTTTTTTTTTTACGCATTCCTCATATAATGACAGGCTTAATAAACTATAAGCTAAATGAAAAGAATCCAAAGATTTCACATTTTCTTTTGAATATTTTAGGAAAATTAATCATGGAATAACATAGCTGTCCTTGATAAATTTCAACTTTGAGCTTAACATATTAAGATAAGATGGCCTGCACAGAGTGCAAAAAAAAAAAAAAAATACAAGTTAGATTGTGACCAATCATTTTTAAAGAAATCTGCATATTCAGTAAAGGGAAGGGACCCCCCTTTATACCTTACGTCATGAAGAATTCCATTACAACTTGTTACCTGAACAGGTGCTTAAAAATTAGCCAATAGATTCAAAATCTTCTCTCTTTTCATTCTGTTTTTCTTTCTTATCTCATTACGTCGACATCATGATTCTGGAATGTGTATACATTTAAAAAGAAATGTAAAATCCATGTATGGCTAAAAGTCAGATGTCATTTTCTAAAGGCATAAAAAAAGGTGCTGTCAGATTGAATAATTGTGAGATTTGGCTTAAAGTTCAAGAATATCTAGAAATATTTAGAAAATATAAGTAGGACATGAAGACTTTTAAAAACACTACACATGTAGCTGTTGGAATAAATTACCATTGTGACAGAGACAGACCACTACTGTAATTCTTTGAATCGAAGAAATGCTGGCACCATGATCTGCTGTCAAACCACCAAGCTGAAATATAAACAGTTTTTTAATAAATATGTATCATGTATTTCAGTATTTCCAGTTTAGAAACAGACAGAAGAACAGACAACAATTTTTATATATATACATGTATATGTATAGTAGAGTTTATTATTTTTTTAATAATAAAGTACATGTACAAGATACTGTTTTACAATGGTTTACCATAAAAGTGATGTAAAATGTCTAATGTCACATGATTCTGCTGTGGTTTCAAATCTCTTGCTAAGGATTTTATGTTGATGACTTGTTAGAAGAATTTGAGGCAGTGCCAGGGGGTAGGGTAGAAGGAAATGAATGGCTTACACTAAGAACACCATAAGGTAAACTATCCTCAACTCTAAGAGAGTTCAAAGAACATTTTCTACAGCAAAAGTTTAAAACCAAGAAAATGAAAAAGTAAACAGTTTACTTAGGGATTGTATGGTTTATAGTATGGCCAAGGTTTTGGCAGTCGGCTGCAGCAATGCCTGGGTCTTGCTAGCGATTGCTGCCAGGAATTGTTAACACAAACACTCCTAGTTCTAACATCACCTGTCCCCTCGCACAGATTATTTCAGTAATTAGCAGTTCTCTATGTTCAAGACATAATTTCAATGCACCCACCTGTATCTCCAAATACAAAATATTTGAACTTCTAAAATAAAGCATGACATTTTCATATACTCTTTCAATCAAAAAGATCCCAATTTGCACTAACTCTTCATGAATTTGTACAAGATTGATGGCTCTGAATCATTTTCCAAATTGCAAGAAATGTCCCAACTATTATGCCCAAGGGATTGTCCCTAGTATTACACCCTAGGATGTAATGCAACTGGTTGCTTTATTGTTAGAAGATCAGTTTATCCATTCTGCAGACCCAGACATTTCAAAAATTGAAAGAAAAATTATACTACGTCTATAGGGTAAATTGAGTGTGAAAGTATTTTTCCTAGCATAAATATTTGAAATGATATATCATATCATGTGGTAACATGGATAATGAAAATCTCAAATTTGATTTAATATAGAACAGGAAAGGGGCAAAATAAACAATAAAAATTCTATCCAGGATCAGTCATATCATTACCATTACAAACATGTGCTATCAGATCATAATAAAAAGAATTTTGTGATCCCCTTTTCCCAAAACATTACAAGAACCAGTAGAGAATACAAATAGTGCATTAAAGTCAGCAAAATTGCCCCAGCTGAAAACACTTGTGTTTAAAGAAAACAGATAGAAATACTAGAAAAAAATCTGTCACTTGAGAAATCACTAGGTATAAAAGTTTATCACAAAATAGACAAAAAATGTCTGAGGAAAAATTTAGGCTGATAAGAATGCTACAGTAAAATGAATAGAAATGGGAAGAAAGGAAATGCATTAGGAAGTCACAACCTCAAATGATTGAGATTTTGTTATCCAAATGAGAGTTATTAGTTTTTGTTTACTGAATGAAGAGTTACTTTTGATCATACGAATGGAATATGTCAGAAATAATGACCAAAAAGAAAGAGAGGCAAGTCTGCAATAACACAGGAAAAGAAAATACACTTGTTTAGGATAGAGTTTTTTTTCTGTGAAAAAGAGGATCTTGTACACACTTTAGTTTATAAAAAAAAAAGTTGGAATCCCCACTTCAGCATCTTAATCATGGGAGGAAAAAAGAGGTGCTCCAAAAATTTCCAGGAACAACTGTTTCAAACTACAGGAATGTTGATTTTATCATACATACTGGTGCCTTTTTTATGTTAATTCTAGAAGCAAACTCATGTCCTGAATTAAAGAAGTGATTCATTTGAAATATTTGAACCCATTGTCTTAATACCCAGTGCACTGAACTTGCCGCACATGTACTTTGAGAAAGCATTTGAAAAAGCTAGACCACAAAATGTAGTGAATTCCCTTCCTTCATGTTGATGATGCTGGTCCAAAGATTACCTTGTCATGGTACCTTCTTCATTTGTCAGCAAATATTTCACTGCCTATAAAATCAATTGCAATGAATCATTTTTATCAAACAGACCCAATTCACAAGGAATCAATTCAAGTTAATTGAATACTAATAGAATCTTTCAATGCATTAGTTCAGTTTGCTGCAATACTTATAACTATTTTTTTTTTTACAGTAAATCCTATTGAAAGAATGATTTTTTCATTACTACTGTTTAAAATTATTCATTAATTTTACTCGTTTTATACAATTACACTCTAGTACATGCAATTTTTTTAAATTCATATATAGTGAATTTGTGATAGACAACAATTTTTTAACAGTCATAATTTTTTGAAAAGAAATTTCTTAATAAATTATCAATTAATTAATAACATCAAACACTATGTCATTAGATGAGGCAACATGACAGGCGAAACGATTGATTCCAACTTAAGTACACAGCTATCACAGGTGCTCCAGAATAGTTTAAATCGCCTGTCAATTTTACCTGCTCTGGTCTTTTGATGCACTTACCTGGTTTAGGTGTACCATTAAAGGAAAGACCACAACCTTCAGATTTTAACATCAGTATACCACTATGTTATTCCTAGAGTCAATTTGTTTCTCTTCCAGCTGAAAGGTTGATGATCAAAATCACAAATTTCATCAGACATTGATGAAAAATTTAGTTTTCTGGCACCCATAGCTTAATGTACCATTCCAACACTTCAGTAAAGTGATCAGCCCAAAGATGTGTATATACTTTTAAAGTTTTATCTATATCATGTCTATACATGTAGTTTTCAGCATATTCAGTTGGATAGAATTATAATAGGTTAAATAGAGACAGGTAAATTTGATCATATTAAGTGACACAAAACATGTCCTAGCTGCCATTCACTTATCTGGAAAAGCAAGTGTTTTTTTTTGTTTTTTTTTTTTGGTTATGTTAACTTTATATATGTAGTCCAGCATATGAAGTGTCACTTACCTCAAAATAAGAAACTTCAGAGATTTACATGCTATTCTGTCATCAACTTTCAAAGTCAATTCCACAAGGAGTGGGGGTACAATGGGGAAGTTTCATTCTTTTTACTTTTATCAAATAAAGTGCATTATCCAAGGACCTACTAATTCAAAATGGAAGAATAAAAGACATAAATAATGAATACTAAATTAATATTCATTATTGAACAGATGTCTTTTGTTAAATACATGTACATACAATATGCCAAAATTATTTTTATTCCAAACAATGTAAAGGAATATTATTTATGGCACAGAATATATTTTTTTATGGTTATTAAAGTAATAATTTGCAACTAACTTCAGTAATAATTTGCTTTAATTAGTTGCCAGAAAAAAATATGTTGCCTTTAATTTACCCTTTTCTAATAGGAAGAAAAAAATCATTAAATGCTGTTTCTCAATAATTGTCATCCATGTTTGTTCAGCCTTGACATTGGTGAAGCCAGGACTCAGGACTTTCAAAATCTGTTTGTACCCTGTACTTTTACCTGGCTGGAATCAAAATTGTACCAACCAAAATATATTCAGTGAAGAAAAAATTCAATATCATTTTAATTAAATTGATTCTGCCAGGTACCTCCTATTTTTGTAGAAGGACCACCTGTTCCTAATCTTTTTAAAAGGCTTAGACTACTCTTTAAAATAGTTTTCCAGATTTGATTTTCATTTTTTTTTCTTCTTGATTTTACGGTACTTGGTTCTTCAATACATTTCTTCTCCATGCCAATACTGAAAGCAAATTGCAGATTCTCCGAGCTAACCCCAAAAGTAGTTTGTTCATGTACTTGTATGGAAACGTTGAGGGACAAAGTTGACACATGTAGCCTGATATATGGGGATCTAACTAGTAAGGTATGTTTTAGACTAGTACGTAAATTCAGTAGTTACTGAAAACCCTAGGAATGTCCAAATTCCATGACAACACCCTATAAAAATTTCCTTTCCCTGCTGAATCAAACTTGCCCTGGGACCACATCGCAAATATCCAGCCCGAAACACCCAAACCTTTCTGAGTAAGAACCGCGTCAACTACAGTATGCACGTATGTTTGCCCTTAAAATATCTGAACTAACCTAAGGTCAACGTTTTCTTCTTAGGACCATACAAATCTTACAAAAATAAAACCTTTTTTTTAGTAGAGGGTTTCGTCGTGCACGTGCCAATCAAAATATGGCGCCAAATAAGTATGTGACGAGCTCTCTAGGTCGAGGAGGCGTAATTGGTTGCCATCTGTTTTGTTTCCTCGTTTAACTTCGGAGATTTTGTAAGTTGGATTTTTAATGTTCTTTTCTGTTGCCTTTGCTCTCTTGCTTCATTAGTATTACGCTTGATCAAACTGATTGATCATTATATCTTAAAGAATTGTTTGTTTTGGATGCTTTTTGGATCAGTAACGTTTTTTAATTGATAGATAGCAGGTGATAGCACTCGGAGGAAATTCGACATTATCACATAAGACTGTAAAATGCACACATAAATGCAAAATTTGTTTGAGGTCATAAAGATCTAAAAAGTAGCGATAATGCAATAAACAGAATGTGCAGCGTACGTCCTAGATATAACTGTTTTTCTCTATTCATGTAAAATGTTCATAAAACATTATTTGTACTTGTATGTTTGCATTTTACCTCAAACAAATTTTGCATTGATCATAAAGTTTATGACAAGAATTCTGAACAAAAGCAATAATAAGGATTTACATCAAAAGTCTATGGCAAAGAGATGCAAAAACTTCATAAACAGTGACATAACTCGATTTTCCTTATTAGTTTCCTGTTACTTTGAGAGAACTCTGTAAAATTGTTGTGCACCTATTCTTTATTTGTGTGTTGGTCACTTTAAAAAGACAATAAACATACTTACAATAAGTTTTTAAAAAGTTTTTGTCACCTCTCTACGGGCCTATTTTTATATACAGACATTTCTAAGTAAAGTTTTAGTACATTGCTTCTATTCTCAGGTGCGGATCAAGGAATTTTTTCCAGGGGGGGGGGGGGTCCATCCCATTCCAACCCAAAATTCCTTGACAAGCAAAATAAAAAAAAACAAAAAAAAAACGTAAAATCCATTTCCCAACGTGAAAAACGTGGTTGTGATGGTGGGGTCCACATTTTCTAGGGGGTCCAAAGTCATTTTTTTTATTTGCTTCAGTATATACTTTCAACTATAACTATGCAAATTCAGGGGGGGGGGGGGGTTCCGGACCCCTCCCCCCCCCCCAGACCTGCGCATGACAGACCTGCGCATGATTCCGGTCTATCCTTTTATACACTTTTTTTGATCATTCATTTTGTATCTAGACCTAAGACCTCTAGGAAATTTTTTGAATATGATTATATTGGTCATGCAAGGTTATTGATGCTGCAAATGTTCTGCATTTTCAGGATAAGTGATCAAGATAATGTAGTAGTTTTGGCTATATGGACCGTGGATTTTGGCCTGCATAGAGGTTTAATCACCTGACTTGTGATACAGGGTTCCCGGACTCAATCCCAGTCAATCTGTATATATTTTCTTTATTCATTCCTCCTTTTCTATTACATTTGATGGCCAGTGTTGGAGGCCTTGTTTAGGTTATATGTTAATTATAATTCCTGGCAAGGTGAACTTATAAGCTCACCTGAGCTAAAGGCTAATGTGAGTTATTTTTTATCAAAATTTGTCAGCTGCAGAGATGTCGACATTTTTAAATCACTAGCTGTCAGACATTTGGTCTGACATATTTATAGATTCTTTTGGACCAGATGAAGTTTTGTCAGACCAGATACACATACCTTATTGGTACAGACTGCAGAAAGGATTTTCTGCTAAGGAGTGATAATTAATGAATAGCAAAAATTGGATGGTGTCATTTAAAAATCTTTTTTTCAAGAACCAATGGGCCAAAAAAGATAAAATATATGTGGAAGTTCCTCATATAGAGTATAAATTCAAGTTTGTTTAAATCATGGCCCCTGGGGATAGGGTGGGGCCACAATAGGGGATCAAAGTTTTACATTGGAATATATACAAGGGAAAATGTTTTGAAATCTTCTTCTCAAGAACAACAGAACCATGATTAATGATATAAGTTAATGCAGTCATCCTCAGGTAGTGCAGATTCAAGTTTGCTTAAATTCTAGCCCACTGGCATAGGATGGGGCCGGGATAAGGGATCAAAGTTTTTACATGGGAATATTAGGGGTGAAAGGATATGCCTCCTTCATAATACAATACATGTAATGTAATTTTGTCATGTACAGTTATTTTTTATATGATACATAACATTTTTAAATAAGGAAACAAATGCAACATGTTCAACATTGTTTTAATATTTTTGTTTCACTAAAACCAGTAACTTAATCTAAGTGTAAATTGACTAGAAGAAATTGATTAGAATTAATTGTCTGTTAATGATTATTCAGCTAACTATTAGTCCTCAAAATCATGTTTTTAAAATTTAATCATGCTGTGTAGTATATTTTTATGAATGCCAAACATGATTGAAAAACAATCCTGACCAAAAAATGAACTGAACTGAAAATGGAGATACTGTATCATGTATAAAACCGACAAAAAATGCCACGTTGAATCGATACCACAGTGAAGTGTTTCTCTTCTAGGGAATATGTAGGAAAATGTTTTCAAATCTTTTCAAGAACATGATGATAATCCATGATTAGTAATATGCATACATTAACAGGTAGTGTAGATTCCAGTTTGTGCAAAGGAAACTCAGGTGAGCCCTGTGGCCCTTGGGTCTCTTCTGTTGTTGTATGTCTTTGAGGTCAAAAACTATGTAAGGAGGGACGAAAGTAGTAGTTAGGGCTTCATGGACTGCAGATATTGGCATTGGTAGCTTAGTGGTTATAGCAGGCCACCTGACTAAGTGATGCACCTTGGTCCTGGGTTCAATTTCAGGTCAAGCCATATATTTTCTTTATTCATTCCTCCTTTCCTATTACATAATAATAGATAATCTTTTTGCAGGTTTTTTTTACCAGGTAGTTGGTGTTGATCAAACTTACATGGATGATGACAATAAGGATGCATCTTATTAATCATGTTTCAGATTCTGCATGTCACTTACTTTCTAATTGATAGTTTCCTTTTTAATGATCAAGTGAGCAATTTAGTTAGTTTTCACTTGCACTTTTGCATGAAGCTGGAAACACAGCATTTGCAGGGAATGCTCATCATGCAGTTGTACATTACTAAAACTTATAAAGTTTCTGATGTTAATAACTGCATGTCCAAGTAAGGAAAACCTTTTATTTGATGTTTATTTTTAGCTCTACTGGTCAGAGACCAGAAGAGCTTATGCGATAGTAAGGTGTCCGTCGTCCGTCCGTCTGTCTGTCTGTCTGTCTGTCTGTCCGTCTGTCTGTAAACAATTTTTCAAAACGCTACTCCTCCTACAGTTTTGGTCCGATTTCAATATAACTTGGCACACAAGTAGACTACACTAAGATACATAATTTAGTGCATCGGTTTTTGATTTCGATGGACGGTGTTGCCATGGTTACTAAAAATAGAAATTTCTGTGAAATTCCTTTAAAACGCTACTCCTCCTACAGTTTTGGTCCGATTTCAATATAACTTGGCACACAAGTACACTACACTAAGATACATAATTTAGTGCATCGGTTTTTGATTTCGATGGACGGTGTTGCCATGGTTACTAAAAATAGAAATTTCAGTGAAATTCCTTTAAAACGCTACTCCTCCTACAGTTTTGGTCCGATTTCAATATAACTTGGCACACAAGTACACTACACTAAGATACATAATTTAGTGCATCGGTTTTTGATTTCGATGGACGGTGTTGCCATGGTTACTAAAAATAGAAATTTCTGTGAAATTCCTTTAAAACGCTACTCCTCCTACAGTTTTGGTCCGATTTCAATATTACTTGGCACACAAGTACACTACACTAAGATGCATAATTTAGTGCATCGGTTTTTGAATTCAATGGACGGTGTTGCCATGGTTACTAAAAATAGAAATTTCTGTGAAATTCCTTTAAAACACTACTCCTGCTACAGTTTTAGTCTGCTTCTAATATAATTAGGCATACAAGAAGACTATACTAAGATACATAATTTACTGCATTGGTTTTTGAATTCAATGAACAGTGTTGCCATGGTTACTTAAAATAGAAATTTCTGTGAAATTCCTTTAAAACGTTACTCCTCCTACAATTTTGGTCTGATTTCAATCTAATTTGGCACACAGTTAGAATACACTACGATACATAATATGTATTTCTGTTTTTTTTATTTGGGTGAATGGTGTTGTCATGGTTACCGGTACTAAAAATAGAAATTTCCGTGAAATACTTTCAAAACGCTACTACTCCTAGTTTTCATTTGATTTCAATATAACTTGTCACAAAAGTAGACTACATTAAGATACATAATTCTATTTATTGTTGCATGTTGCAATGTTTCAAATCCAAGTGCTACTTTTCTTTTGTTATACAAACAGACCAGTAGAGCTACAGTCTCATCAGAGACTTCTGGTTACTTTTAAATCATAGGCCTTGACTTTGGTCTTTTTTTTTCTCAAAGCAAATACTCTAAGAGACTAAATCATGGTAAGACAATATAAAAAAATATGTGTGGTTCCAGTTTACCTCCTGAAAAAAGTGGGGTAGTTAGGAAGTTGTGTAAATTATAGTAGTTATAATTCATAAAATGGACTTGACTTTCTTGTTAGTACCAATGTAAGATTCTCCCGGGCCCTTTCGCATTCATTATGGTTTCTGTGTTTGGCGCAACATTTTTAAAGCAAATCAACTGACAAGTCAAGAGGTAGATTATGTATATAGCCTTGCTACCTTTGCACAGCTTGTATCATTTTGAAGGTAGTCTGCTTTGGTTTGAGTTTATTGATGAGTATCTCCGATGTCATTCACTTTCTCTTGTAGAGAAGCTTTGCGTGAATGTTATTACTCTCATAAGGAAGCAATTAATATCATCTCCTATAGTACTTAGCCTAATTTAGTAAATTAGATCTTTTCTTCTCTAACATGTACTGTATATTAAAGATCACCTTGTATTGGAAAGAAAATCTGATTTTACCAGGGGTAATCTGGTACTAGATTTATAACCAGAAAAATCTGACTTTCTTGTGGTGCAGTTTCAGTTTTCAATTATCGTGTGGTAAGGATAAGAAGTAGGGCTTCTCCAGCTCTATAGACACAGAATTATGACTTGTTAGGTAATTTATAGTTTTGTTTTTGTTTTTTGAATTGATTAATTGTTAATACTTGTTGACACAGACAGTTTTAGCCGGTAGCCAGTAGATGAGGAAACTATATAATGTTTCTCTTTTGATTGGATTTGCAGCCCATTTTCATGACAGGAACTTTCCTGTGAGACTCCAAAACTGCTTGGTCTCCAAAGAGTTCTTCATTTGTAGCCATTTAGTATTGATTTTTTTTTTCACAGAAGTTAATGGAATAGGTGTCATATCAGAAACATACCCATTTAAAAGGCATACGAAATTTTGTAAAATTACGTAAACAAAACCAAATTGACGGGAATCTGAAATTTTGTAGAATTATATACTATACATTGGTTTGATTTTTAAACATTTTGCAGATCTAACCATGGCAGAGAGAGACGAAGAAGTTGAAGTAGAACGCAGGCCTCTGAAGAGGATGTCAACCATTGCGTATCGTGGATACAAGAGAGAGCCAAGTAAAAGGTAATTAGTAGACTGACGCGGAATCATGATTATAAAGATTATTTATTACATGTTTTGATGTATACTTTTAAATGGATAAGTATCCTATATGTAACCAATACATTTTTCAAAAATGGCATATATGTTAAGGAAATATGTTATACAAACAGTCACTTTGTTAAAATAGGTGAATCATCAAAATTCCTTTGCTGTTTACTGTAATTTCTTTTAATTTATATCTGGTAAGTATTCTATTGATCTGAAATTCTTTATATATATTTATTCACTTTGTATGACTGATTATATTTAATGGAATTGAATATAAAGTATACATTAAATAGACCAATGAAATAGAATAGGGGCACTCCCTAACTCGGGCTAAAAACTTCAATTTATATGTATACTTAAAATATTTGATTTTTTTCTCTCCTAAATAGCATATTTTCTAACATTTCTTTTGACATATTCAGTTTATCAGTCTATGGTAAGTACAAATTAAAGAGAAAAAACAAATTCTGGAAGTACTGTATATGTGTACTTTTTTAGCCCAGCAGATAAAAAAGAATCAAATCTATATGTCATAGATAGATTAAAACAGCCATGAGTTAGTGTTGCTTGTCCTTCTATTAGCTCACCTGAGCTGAAGGTTCAAGTGAGCTTTTCCCATCGCAGGGTGTTGGACATCCATCTGTTGTGTATCGTCTCTGGGGTGTCTTTTGTAAACTTTTCACAGTTTTAACTTTTTCTCAAGAACCACTGGGCGAATTTCAACCAAACTTGTCACCACAAATCCTTGGGTGAACATATTTAAGTTTCTTCAAATGAAGGGCCACACACTCTTTCAAGGCATCTTTTAAAAATCTTCTTCTCTATAACACTGGGCCAGAAAAAGATAAAACTTATGTGAAAGCTTCATTACATCATGTACATATATGTAGTGCAGATTTAAGTTTGTTCAAATCTTAACCCCTGGTGCTAGGGCAAGCCACAGCAGGGGATTAAATTTTTTACATAGGAATATATAGGAAAATTCTTCTTCTCACGAACAGCAAAGTCAAGATTAATCATATTTATATAGAAGCATCCTCAGATAGTATAGATTCAAGTTTGTTCAAAAAATCATCCGGGGGGGGGGGGGGGGGGGGGGGGGGGGCAAAAAACTAGAAACTATCTCCTCAAGAGCAGCAAAGTTATGATAAGTCATATTTATATGAAAGCATCCTCAGGTAGTGTACATTCAAATTTATTAAAATTGTATCCCCCAGGGGTAGGGTGGGGCCACGATGGGCAATCAAAGTTTTACACATAGAAATACATAGGACGAATCTTTAAAAATGTTCTTCTCAAGAACAGCTAAGTTTTTATCATTTATATTTTTATGGATGCATTTTCAATAGATTTTTTTTATAGATTCAAGTTTGTTCAAATTATGACCCCCACTGGCCAGGGGAAAGGTGGGGCCACAATGGGCGATCAAAGTTCTACTGTAACATAAGAATATATAGGGGAAACAATCTGCTGCTGGAGAACAGCAGGGCCTAATTGTTGGTTGAGCAATGTGGCCTAGGGTCTCTTGTTTATTACACCTATGTGAAATCATACTTTGGTCGTTTTTCTGACTTTTTGCCCAAGGGACATTGTGTAAACTGCTAAACTCCCCTGCAGCTAAAATAAGCAGGCATACAATATGTACATTAGTTATTTTTTCTGCCCACAAAGTCATATATATTGTGGCATATTATTTGTATAAATCTGCTTAAGGTTTATTGCTCAGCTCTATGAGATAGAGACTCCAGATAGAATCTTTCTGAAGGTCAAGGCTTCATGTGTGATCAAGGTCATACTTAGAAGTGAAAGGTTAAGCACATGTAGCGGAATGTATTACTGACATTGAGTCATATATATTGTTTCCTGGCACAACTTTTTTTGAGCTGATGTACATGTACTTTGGTTGTAAAATTTCATATGTTTTAACTAACAATACAAATAATATTTTTTGACATAAATAATTCCCTTGAAAACAGTTGATCAGTTGGAAACTAGCTTTTTTATATGAAGTTATTTGTGTCAAAATTATGCCAGTTTATTTGAAATGTGCATATTAAATATAGATCTACAAAGGGTAGACTTAGTATGTAACCAAGTTAAGTAGACAATTAAATTAATATAATTTATTCTGATTTCTGATCAACTTTTGCTTATATTCTGATTTTTGATCAATTTTTGCTTAATAGGATTGTCAGTAATTATTGCAATTAAAGCCAAGTCAAATATTGTTTTAGTACCGGTACATACTTTACCCAAAAGGAGTATTTCATGCTTCAAATTACATTTATATAATTGGTAAGTGTCTGTAAATAATTTTAAATTTCTTTTTGTTATGTTATCATGAAACATTGTTATAAATTGTGTGGTATTTTGACAATCACCTACCACTAGTGCCGTATAATCAAAAATCAGGACCCTCAGAACTCTTAAAAAGGGCATGGAAGTAATGACTATAAAGATTCCTGTAATGGGTTCACCGATATTCTTCTCTTGTCGTAAATATTCAGAACATAATAATCGAGGTAATGGTTGCCATACATTGTATCAACACTTAATACTTAATTAATAGGCAATCTCTATTGATCATCTATTTTATTATACAGTATATCAGCAATGTCAACTCTTGTCTTGAGATGGTTTGGACATATTAACAGTACCATCTCTCATTTGGTGACATATTTTTCAAATCCTATTTGCCATAGTCCTTACAAGTATAAAGATGGATTTGAGAAAGAAAAATTGCTTAGATTTTAAAGCTGCTCAGATGAGAAGAAAATCATGCCCCCATGTGTTGCTGTGTAATTGCAGGGTCTTTGTCAATAGAAGTCTGATGTTGGAGAAAGTCCGGTTCTATGGTTTTGACATGGACTACACACTAGCAAGTAAGTGACATGGATGTAGGGAGAAAATGCCATGCTGGCTACATTTATCTTCAAGCCATTTTAAATTTAGTAGATTGATTTATCCTGGGAGTAGGGCATATACATGTTGTATTGTATTTGGTCTGTCTGTGTGATTGTTTGTTTTGACAGCTTTAACCTTGCATATCTACTGAAATATAAAGAATGTAGACAAGCAGAGTCTTCTTTTCATTTCAAAGGTATGCTTAATGATCATAGGCCAAATAAGGATATATTTTGCCATTGGAATTTCCCACTTTTCTCACACTTTTTTCTTTATAAATGCTTTCATCCAGTGTGATATATCAATTTCCTGTGACTTATAGGGATACTCATCACATTGTTTTATGGAGTACTTATACACATAAGTATCTTGGTTCATGCTAACATGCAGATTAATTTTTTGTTGATGACATTGGAATTGAAAACTTATATGTAAACATTTATGCTTTTATGTTTTGTTTTACTTCCAAAAAAAAAAACAAACAAAAAAAAAACCTGTGGTTGACAGGATTCACAAAGATAAAACAGTACAAGGAGCTTGTACTCAAGCAGTCATTAACATAGAAAGTCCCTTGTCTTAAAGTATACTTTGCATAAATAAGCCTATTTTTCATATTTGCACTTTAGAAAGAAGTTGGTATGTGATATGAGCTGCAGATTTTTATGTGCAACATTTGAATATGTTAGTCTATGGACACAGACCATATTCTGTTATTTGTTGTCAACTGAGACTGTATATTATTTAAAAATTGTCTTGTAAGAGTTTTTATGCTAATATATTGTCAAACTTTCAAAAGTGACTGTTACTGTAAAAATGGATTTGTATAATTTTTCAGTATGAATTTGTATACAGTAATTTTTCAGATAATGAATTAATCAAGCATGCGATCTACTGTACTGGTTTTCCTTTTATTTAAACAGAAATTAACTGGTCATGCCAGTATTTTTCAAATTTTTCTTTAGATAAAGTGAACTAATTTGATTGAATTATAAGTCTATAAATATCTTTGCAGACTTTGCTGTAGTAAAAAAATAATCTGTCCCTGTTATTTATGTACATGTATTGAGCTACAATCACTTGATCAAACCTTTAGACTGACATAAGATAAAACAAGATCTGTGTTAAAAATAGTGTTTCTAAGAGGGATATATTTATGTTACATCTTGTATAACAAGACCTTAGCTGCCATCTGATGATCATGGTACCAACGTACTCCATCCTCGTGCAAAACTGTTATTTTTCTATACTGTTACCAACATCTGTTTAAAAAGGACAGACTTGTGTTATGTTGACAGTGTTCAGGTAATTTTTCAAAATGACTGAAAAAAAAAAGAAAAAAATAAGGATTGGTATCAAAAGAAAGCAGAAACAAGGAATGAAGTCATCATGTTCATTTGAGATGACAATGATCACGCACCAGTTGCTTAAATCAAAAGGACGATTGAACAGACACGCGAATAGATATCACCTACCATGTTCGCCTGTATTCCTCTTTTGAAATATTTTGTTTGTTACAATATGAGGTGGGGGATGAAAGATAAAACTATGTGGTTTTTTTTGTTGTCATAGTTTTTTTTTCTGTGTCAAAAATCATTCTGATTTATCAGATATGAATTTTTCTAAAGAATCTTATCATATTTTACGGTTTTTCTTCTTGACTAGACAGTTTTTTGGTTTTTTTTGTGATTGTCTAATGGGTGCCACTTTGAGCAAATGTTACTGTTTTTTGATCTATTTTGTCAGTAAAACAAGAGAAAACAATGGCAAACATTTTACAGAGGGAAAGAAGTGGTATATGTGTCAGTTCCTGATCGTTTTTGATAATACAGTAGTTTTGGAACCAACACCTTTGAAAAAATGTCTTCTTTACATGAAAGGTGGTGTTAAGAGTATTGTGTTACTGATATTTCTTGGTGAATGTAGGGGTAATGATTCATCAAAATATGAAGAATAAATTTTTTTAATTTTTATTTTTAGCGGGGGACAGAGGTGGGGGGGGGGAGCAGTATATGTATTGCCAAATTTTTCTCCTGTAAAATTTTAAATCCACATTCATCCTATCCTTAGAGATGTATTGCCCACACAATTCAATATCTACATCTATAGTGTGTTTTCCATATACACAATATATTTCCTTATAGAACAGATCTTTTTTGCTTGATCAATTTACAAGATATTGGCAAAATTTTTATACAGGTGTGTGTATGATGGTATAAATTTTCTTGGCAATTTCAGACACTTGGAAAAAATTTTTTTTAAGGGAGTATTAACTCAATATTGCATGATATTCCTTGGGAAAAAAATTTGTGTAGTAAAAAATTTCAGATTCTTGTTGCATTCAAAGATATAGCTCGATCAATGTAAAAAAATAAGCTGTAGATATCACGAACTGGTAAAATTCTGATGTTGTAACAGGTCACCTTTGTTGCTTTCTCTGAATTAAAGTTGACATTATCTATTTGTCTTCCTTACAATAGTAGCATGTGGCAGGATTTTTTTTTCTTCCTTTAGTGCAGGGATGTGAAACTACAAAGGTTATTTACCTACATTGAAGTCTGGCCCTATCTCCTACACTTCTCTGTGCATTAGCAGCAGAGTATTTGTCATTGGTGTCAATTATTCTGAAAACTTTGGCAGACTTCATTGTCTGGGCAATTATGAATCAAGATTTCCACGTAAAAAATATATTTGTTTATGTTCTGTCATGTATCGAAAAATTAATTTTGTCGTAAAGAGCTTTTTGGAAAATTGATTTCTTAAAACAAGAAGAGGGACAAGAAGAATTAATTTCTTGAAAGAAGAAACAAAATATTTAAGTTCTTGGGGGAAAGAAAATCCATAGATATTTAAGGAATTTCACGTTTTTGTAATCATTTTCCATTATTAAATAATCCATGCAATTACTTGGTTTCTTTGCATGAAGGAGGACAGGTTCCTCAAGATCCATTTGATTTTAAAAATGTGCTTCACATCATTTCATGATAATTGTGTTAGCCTGTGCTTTGCAGACTTGGAGTAATTACTTTTATTTATGCATTAGACGGAGTGCACATTATTAGTTTTAGATTTTGGAGAAAGCATTAATACTGTGTAACTTTTCCTTAGGCATGTAATTATTCTTTCACTTCCTGGGAAAATTGTTTTGTTGGGTGAAAATTGGACTGAATGACCACTTGTACATTGCTTATTTCGCATTAAAATCAACTTTATATTGATTACTGCATCAAGTCATTAGGAATCTTTGATGAGGGTGAGGTGGGGTGTTTCCTTTACTTTTTAAATTCATTTTAGTGCTTTCTATGGTCTTTGGGTTAATTTGTAGCTTCATCCGAGTTTGGTGTTCACTAACTATATTCCAGCTACATGTACAATGTACGTAATACATACTTTCTGTTGTTGTCCACTTTTTCTTCAGCTATTTTGTGGTTCATTTTCAATATAGGTCAGAAAATCTAACTTACACTAATTTTGTTGAGTAAAAGTTGTTTTTGTAGTCAAGTCAACCAGTCATCTCTAGAACTGTTCAGACCTACTTTTCAAATTTATTTGATACTACTGACAAGCTTGTTTATGGGCTCTTTTTTCATCTTGGTCAGAAAAATGATTAGGCATATCTGTCGTGTAAATATGTTCAATACATTATTACATTTTGTCACAAAGAGGAACAAATGACTACCTGGAGCTGGGAAACGTTTCGTAATTTGTGGACCTTTTGTTGGCCCTGCTTTGTGATCTTCTTGAGCTTCAAAGATGAGATAGGGCTACTCTAATGCCTTGATTACTTTAAATTCACTATATAATCTGCCAGATCTCTATTTATCAAGGTAGCGTTAAAATCCCCATAATGTCCAGTCCTCTTTATTTGTCAGTAAATTGTGTTGATTTCTCAACAAAAAGTCAGGTTAGTGTCTAAATGGGAGGGACTTAAGTAGGTCAAGTGGGCAAACGAGGGTAGAAAAGGAGTACCTATGAATTAGTCGGTGAATTGTATAGTCCCAGGTGTTCTCCTTTCTTAGGAAGGAGCATTAGAATTTTCCCCCTTTTTAGTGTCAGTTGTAAGAGAAGTACAAATGAAATTCACTGTAGAAATATAAAAATCTCCTGTTAATATTTTTATTATGTATTTGTATGTATCTGTAAAGGATTTCTTTCTCTGCTTGTATTAAAAAAAAGGCTTGTTGAAAAGCAGTTGGGTTTAATTCCTGCTTGGAAAGAAAAAAATCCAGTTTCATAGAGTGAGTGTCACACAAGTATTATAATGCTTTTTTGTGGTTTATAGTAATAAGTTTTTTAAATGAATACGGAAAAACCAATAATAAAGATTTATGAGATGTATACTGACCCATCTTACAACTTTATGAATATAGATTTTACTACACATTAATTATACAGTTTCAAAATGATAATGCATTCAGATCAGGAAAAACGGCCATAAATTGAAAGTCGAGAATTATAAATAAGAGATGCTTCATTTTTATCGTCGGTCAAAACAACATCCGCTGTGTTGTATTTCAATGCATTAAGTCTTAAATAAATGTAATTTAAGAAAGATTCATAAAAAAATATCTTAAAGATTGATTTTTTACTGCCCCCATCAAGATAGAGTATCTTTCTAAGTTAACTATTCAGTTGAATGGTTGCACTTTCCAGTATAGTATGATATTTGTGGGTTTTTTTTAAAAGTTGCCAGGGATATGAGGGGTGTAAATTTTCTGCATACATTACATTTCAAAACTTTTAAAATAATAAATGTGTTTAAGCATCTGAAGAAATATATCCTTCATTGCAGAAATTATCTGTACATTAAACTTTGCTGCTTTTTAAAATCTATTATTGTGGTTTATGATTTATGACATGAACCTTGAACACAATTTGAAGATATTTTTGGTTTCAAAAGTTTTGTGTCTCCTTGCCGAAAATCATTGGATATAATGTGACAGGTAATTTAATTTTTCTCCTTATGCATAGCCAATTTCCATAGCAATAAATTCAAAAGAAATAAATTATACTAAACCGAAATTTAAGAGCAAATATTTGCTCTCAAACAGGAGTGGCATTTTTGTGGATTTCAGAGTGGAGGTTCTCAAAGAAAAATTAAAGCACTCAACTTGACCAGTATCCCAACAATGAAAAACATTATAATGATTGCAATTCCAATGTGTAGAAAGATGGTCCATCAGCTTGCCTATAAAAGTCATAAAAAGTAATAGCCATCTTTAATTTCATTGAAATATCTGGGGAAAAACCATAATATAATGACAAATGTTGCTTATCTAGGTGGGCATGACCTATAAAGATACATTTGAAGTGGACACAGGGCAATTCTGTCAATGTCTCGGATGGTCCTGATGAGGTATAAATCAGGCGGAGATAAAAACGGTCAGGAAGTGACCATTTTCTACGGCCTATCCCGATTGACAGGGTGTTGACTTTACGATCACCTTGATACTTTGTTCTTACTGGTGGTCTTGAGTAAAGAAGGATGGTAAAAAGATTGTAATGAGAATCAACAGGAAATGGCCGTGAGTTCCTGATGACATAACTGTGATTTAGTGCCGACTATCAAAGAATCTTTTAATTCAGATGCACACATGAAATGTAGAAGCCAATCATTTCATTCTAAACCCAGTGGAAGGATTAGCTACATTTGGATGCAGACTTGCTGTGATCTATAATCAGTTACTGCAATAGACTATGTAAAAATGCAAATAAAGTGGTTTTCTTTTTGTTTTGTATTTTGACCTAGTAGTCTTACCCATGTGGAAGAAATTACAATCTAAATTCTGACTTTTTGTCAAAAGGACATGTGTTTTCATGCAAAAAGAAGTCATTTATATTGGGTTTACATAGTTGTCAACAAGTGCCTATAACTTTGGTGTCTTTTTGACATTGATAAACTGTCTTTCTACTCTGACTATGAAATATTTGAGTAATCGTGTACACTAGGAAATTAATTAGACTGAAATGCACAAATTTTGGTGTTTTAATATTTGTGCATTACCTACAAATAACATTTTTATTAAAAAAAAAAAAAGTAAGTCTAAAAAAAATATTGATGATAAAGAAATAGCAAGACGGACAAACTATGCAACACTATGAGACATGTTAACATGCATGCACATGATGGGGTAATGTGGGGCATGTGATGTTGACCTTATGAATGCCGAGTACCAGATGTTTGGCCAGTACTGTACCTTTATGTGTTAAGTATATAAGGTCAAGGTGCTCACAGGTCAGGATAAGTTGCCTTCCCTTAACGTGGTCAGAAAAGAGGTACTGGCTTAAGTCGTAAAGTCAGGTACAATCTGATGTGAGGTGTATGATCCTACACAGATTTATACTGTAGTCATGTATCAAAATAAGGTATTTGACATTCTAGGTAATTTTATGTTGGGTGTGTTACAAAGCATAAAAATGACACTTTTAATGCATTAAACTACAGAAAATCAATTTGTTGCCTTTTGGGAAAAAACTTTTTTTTCCCCCTATCTCAAAAGCACGGATGCTCAAGTACACAATTAGAGAAATCTTGATTTTGACATGGAGATTGGTATTCTAGCCCGTATTGATTTTACAAATATTACAACTATTTAAGCAAAATCATCAGTTTTGATCTTAAATTTTGTAAAATCCATCCTTTTTTAATGTCAATCTTAGATAAAAATGCAAAATATACTCCATACATCCTGGTACTGCACCCATTATATGGGATTGTATCAACTTGATGATGCATACATAATTTTATAAATTTTCATCTGAATGCCAATCATAACGGTGATTGACACTTGTGTTTGTGAATGAATTGTCAGAGAAATTGAGAATGATAACGGTACTCATTGGAAATATTTTTACAGTTATGATTACGGCACGTTTGTCCCTAGATTACAATGCGTACTGTACTAAATACAAAGTATGCCTGCTTTTGATTTCTGTTTGAAAGAAAGACGATTAACACAATTTTGGGCAACTGTCGACTCTTGAGATGAAAATTCCAACTTCTGTAGCAACACTCCCTGAAATATTTCTAAATGATGTATTCCACAATTAAACAAGCTCTCCTGTCTTATTTATTGTTTTCTTTTTTAAGTATTTTTTTCAGTTCAGTGTAGAATAAAAATTAACATCTTATCTGCCCACTCAATTTAAGTTCAGGAATGACATTAAAGATGTGCATTTCATACTTTGCATTGTTAAGAAATTAGGAAACATGTTTCTCAAGTTTTTTATAATAATTCGTGTTCTTTAGTAAATTGGTAGGGAAATAGTATATGTGTGAATTTTTATAACCATTTGAAAAGAAACTATATGAGTCTCGGAGTATTTCTGCACAGGTGCCATCCCCAAGCAATAAAATTTAGAGAATTTCTATAACTTAGGAATTTTTAAAATTTCCTCTTCTTCTCGAAAAATATTTTTTTAATATAAATTACATGTATGTACTTATCATATGACCTTACTGGATATTTAGCATTGTGCTGACTTGCAAGCAGTAATTTTAACATCAAGACATCCTCGTAAGATTCTACAAAATTATCTTTTGACTTTTTAAAAATTTAATTTTGACGTCTTTTGTTAGTAGTATAATGTCAAAAATTGATTTCATGTACCGGTAGAAGCTAGTACAAGTATTATGAAACTTTAGAACAGTCCTAATCAATGATGTGTACGAAGCATTTTGCTATAAAAGGGAATTTGTAATAGTCAACAATATATTATATAATTGTAATCAATAATTTTTTTTCTTCTTTTTACCTGAAGATATTTCATGTTGTTTTTTTTTACCTTAAGATATTTCATGCTTTCCACAAAATCATAACTGAAAAATACAATTATAACTTATGAACTTTTTAGAGAGTGAAACTTTATGCCTTTTTTGTGACAATCAAGACTGACACATCGTCCTTTATAGTAAATATATAATGTTTGTAGTGTACAAATCTCCTGAGTATGAAACACTGGGTTTTGATCTCATCCGAGATGCCATCGTCACCATTGGATATCCTGATGCCATTAAAGAGTTCAAGTATGATCCAACCTTTCCAATCAGGTCAGAAAACTTTTTACATTTCATGCTTTTTAGCTCACCTGAGCCGAAGGCTCAAGTGAGCTTTTCTGATCAAAATTCGTCCGTCATCATCGTCAGCGTTGTTATTGTTGTAAACTTTTCACAATTTCATCTTCTTCTCCAGAACGACTGGGCCAATTTCAACCAAACTTGGCACAGAGTATCCTTGGGTGAAGGGGATTCAAGTTTGTTCAAATGAAGGGCCATGCCTTCTTCCAAGGGGAGATAATCATGAATTCATGAAAAATGAATGGCATCATTTAAAAATCTTCTTCTCAAGAACCACTGTGCTTGAAAATATGAAACTTATATGGAAGCATCCTCAGGTAGTGTAGATTCAAATTTGTTCAAATCATAACCCCCGGGGGTAGGGTGGGGCCACAATGAGCGATCAAAGTTTTACTTAGGAATATAAAGGAAAACTTTAAAAATCTTCTTCTCAAGAACAGCAAAGCCATGATGAGTCATATTTATATGGAAGCATCCTCAGGTAGTGTAGATTCAAGTTTGTCCAAATCATGACCCCCAGGGGTAGGGTGGGGCCACAATGAATGATCCAAGTTTTAAATAGGAATATATAGGAAAACTCTTTAAAAATCTTCTTCTTAAGAACAGCAAAGCCATGATTGGTTATATTTATATAGTAACATCCTCAGGTAGTGTTGATTCAAGTTTGTTCCAATCATGATCCCTGGGGCTAGGGTGGGGCCACAATGGGCGATCAAAGTTTTACTCAGGAATATATAGGAAAACTCTTTAAAAATCTTCTTCTCAAGAACAGCAAAGCCATGATTGGTCATATTTATATGGAAGCATCCTCAGATAGTGAAGATTCAAGTTTGTTCCAATCATGACCCCCAGAGGTAGGGTGGTGCCACAATGAATGATCAAAGTTTTAAATAGGAATATATAGGAAAACTCTTTAAAAATCTTCTTCTCAAGAACAGCAAACCCATGATTGGATATATTTATATAGTAGCATCCTCAGGTAGTGTAGATTCAAGTTTGTTCCAATCATGATCCCCGGGGGTAGGGTGGAGCCACAATGGGCAATCCAAGTTTTAAATAAGAATACATAGGGAAAATCTGTAAAAATCTTCTTCACAAGAACAACAAAGCCATGATTGGTCATATTTACATGGAAGCATCCTCAAGTAGTGCAGGTTCAAGTTTGTTCCAATCATGACCCCTGGGGGTAAGGTGGGGCCACAATGGGTGATCAAAGTTTTACATGAAATACATAGGAAAAATTTGTAAAAATCTTTTTCTCAAGAACAGCAAAGCCATGATTGGTTTTTTTTTTTTTATGGGTGCATCCTCAGGTAGTGTAGATTCAAGTTTGTTTAAATCATGACCCCCCAGGGGTAGGTGGGTCCACAATGGGCGATCAAAGTTTTACATAGGAATACATGGGAAAAAGCAAGCCTTTTAAAATCTTCTTCTGAAGAACAGCAAAGCAATAATTAGTCATATTTAAATGCAAGCAACCTCAGGTAATGTAGATTCAAATTTATTCAAATCATGACCCCCCAGGAGAATAAAGGGGCCATAACAGGGGATCATAGTTATACAAAGGAATACAAATGATATATCAATAAAAATTGTCTTCCTAAGAACAGCATAGCCATTATTTGTCATATTAATTCAAAAGCATCCCTTTGAAGTATAGATTCAAGTTCAAATTAACCCCCCCTCCCCCCCCCCCCCCCCTCGAACCACTTTTATATCAAAAGTTTTCAAGACTGAACTGATTTCTGCTTTTTCCTAGCCAGAGTGCTCAGGTGAGCGATGTGGCCCCTGGGCCTCTTGTTTTGTATAATTGTGTAGCGTATGGACACTATCATGTTACAGAAAATATCCTCATAAAAATCTTTTTAAATGTAACAAAGAATTTTTATTTATAAGTTTTATTAATAACAGCAAAACAGCTGGGACGTACAGAATCTCAGAGATCTCTGTGTATGCTATATATAGTGTGTACACTATTTCGGATAAGATATAACATTTTGGATGAGACACCACTGAAAGGGACTTAAAGTTTTTATTGCAATAGGCAAGATTTCAGAATACACAGCATGCAGATCAGACAAGTTTTTCTGTATAATTATAAGGATTAAAATATTGATATAAGTAACTTAGATATTGAAAATTGAATAGAGAGTTTTCTTAGAATTCAGAACAAAGATATATTACTTGTAGGATATTATGTGAGCATTAAATGTACGACATGGTAACATTTCCAGAATCCAAATTTGATATCTTTGCTACCCTACTGGAGGAATCCCTTAAGTACAAAAGGTCATGTCTGCACCAAACATATTAAAAGCTATTAAACCTCTTCAGACTATCAATTGAACAAGATTTTACCCAAATGTATTAATCTTGATCTAAAAACAAAATCTTAAGTTGCATTTACAGTATTTAGTGATCCTTGTGATTTGTAAATTAACTCTTTTTTAAATTATTGATGTTTCTTGTTTTAAGTTTGGCAGTCTACAAAACATATCAGGTATAGGTATAAAAATAACGGAATGAAGACATGAAATATGATTCAGTTGTAAAATATGAATGTCGTTCACGTAGATATTGTTTTAGAATGTCAGTTTTGTAAAGAAAACTGCTCATCAATTTACAATTAACGTTAAAAGCTGAAAAAAAGAAGTCATTACAGGTTTTTAGTTTCATATATGATGAATATATAAGTCAAACAACTTTATAATGGTTCATTTAGATGAAAAATTTCAACCACTGATATTTTACCTTATTAAACACTATTTCCATGCAGTGTTAGAAATTGGAAAGAAAATGTTCTGAGAACAGTTAGGGTGTGTGAGATCTGTAATGTCTTTAATTCAATCATTGTCCAAAGAAGAACATTAAAGACACTTCACACTCCATAACAATGGCCTGTGTTTCTGTAATTCTGCATAATTTGATAATTTGTACACAACAGTCAGTAAAACAGAAGTGGGAACTGGTGTATACCAAATCCCTTTGATTCCGGTTTTCATTTGATTTATGCATCTACAACCTTTTGAGATGCCATGTTAATTCTTTGCAGATCTTTTCCTAGTTAATGGTAGTAATAGAAATTAAAAACAATTAATTCATGATAGGGAAGATTTTTTTTTCAGGGATTGGCATATGGTTAATCTTCTAGACAGCATTCAAGCTCTGGAACCCCAAATAATTCATTCATTATGACATATTTGCTGTGTGTTTTATTCATCACAGATGCTAGATACTTCTGTATATTTTTTTAAGGTTCTGGAAATAAAAATAAAATGAAGGGCTCCTACTTAATGCATAGAGATAGGAATCACATATTAATTTCATGCTATGATTTCATAACTCTTATTCCGTGGGGGAAGGCATAATATAGGAACAAAATTGAATTTCCACATGTGTGTCTGACTTTGTAGCCACTCTTAGGTTACATTATTCTTAATTAAAGCTCAGCTGATTTAAAAAAGATCATTTAAATTATTTAAATCATGTGAACTGATCAGAAATTGTGATATATTTCATTTAGATCAATATTGATAATAACCCGAGTGTATAATGACTCTTAAAATCTTAGTGGAATACGCCCGCATCCTTGAAATGCTGCTTTTTTGCTTATTTTCAATTAAGTTTGACATCAGAATTTCTCCAAAACCTGCATTTAATTTAACCCAGTGGCGTCACGTCTTGAAAATACATAAGATTTCAATATATTTTCTTTTTTGTTACCACGCTTCCGGTGAGAGTCCACTCATCAATACGCGATGTTATCGGGTGTTGAGTTTTTTCAGTAACACTTGATGTGCATTGCGGGGATACCGTTTATCTGCAGCATCCCACTGAGGGTTTCCCCCAATCACCTTCGCTTGCAGAAGATTGACTTCCTGTTTTACATTGCGATAAGGGTTGACACAGAAGTTGATCAACTATGTCTCGTTTCTTTTTTTTAAAGTGAAAGAGATTGAAATATTTTATTAAGAAATGCTTATTCAACATTATGATGTAATTTCCTTTTAAAAAAATTAAAGCTACTGAAGACAAAGAAAGTGTAATATTTCATTTTAAATCCAAATGAATAGAATGTTCATTGTGATGTGACCATGCTTCATGATATCTTACACCTTGAAAAACAAAAATTCAAGTTTTTAAAAGAAAGAATGATCAATATAATAAAAGGAATTTGATAGAACTTAAGATTCTGTCATTCATCATGGAAACTCAAAGCCTTAATATTAAAAAATTAAAATATTTTTCTCTGTATGAAGACCTGTATTTTATTTCAGAGGGCTGTGGTTTGACATGGAGTATGGGAATATAATAAAAGCCGATCCCTATGGAAACATCTTAGTTTGTGTTCACGGCTTCAAGTTCCTAAAAATGTAAGTCTCAAAGGTACAGTATAATATTATATGTCACTGAGCTTAGTCTCAAATGAAATTTTAGAAAAGGTTCAGTTTTCATCACTTACCTGGGAATGTCAGTAAACTAGAGGTTTATTTTAAAAAAAAAGGTGCTTTGAGGTTCTGTTGAGGTGCTTTGAGGTGCCAGGTGCTGATCTTTTGAGGTTCTTTGAGGTTCTGTTGAGGTGCCAGATGCTGATCTTTTGAGGTGCTTTGAGGTTCTGTTGAGATGCTTTGAGGTGCCAGGTGCTGATCTTTTGAGGTGCTTTGAGAATCCATGCTTTCTCTTCTATAGTGGACAATGGACATGTGATTGTATTAAATCAAAATTGTTTTAAGAATTCTTATTCCTGATGCGGAACAAAGACAATTAAATAATCATCTATACAGGCAATTAAATGAACAAACTTTTTAGAACTCTAAAGCTCATTTTTCATTTCTACTTGTTTTTTTAAAATGTTGTTAGAATTCTTTTTTTGATAGATTCAGAACAGTTGTTTGACTTGTGTAAAAGTTGCAAAAATGATAAATTTTGGTAGGTCAGTATAAAAAAAAACTTAAGTGGTGCATTGGTAAGATGATTTTTTCCCGTTACTGGAGGCTTGACTTTTATAAATGAGGTAACATATATTTCTGTCTACGGTGTCATAGAAATATCGTATCTTGATAGAAAACAACAGGATGTTGTTGTGTATACAAAGTTGGGATATAAAAAAAATGCTTAAGTCCTCTGCTGAGTTATAAATCTTTTTAACAGAAGTAAAGTAATTAACAAGACAGTATTAAAAAAATACTGACTACATACAGATGATGCCTAAATAAATCATTGATATTCTTAGACAAGACAGTTGTGGTTGCTAAAAATATTGATTTCAAAATTTATGCCTTAATTTACGAAACTTGTATCCTAAACCTTTTGATGGAGTCACCAAATTTCCTTAAAAAAAAACTTTAAATAGGCAGACTGCTTGACAACTCAAACCAAAGTGAATTAAAGGTTTATCAAAATACGAAATTCTAAATCTTAGAGAAAAAAAATCTGTGATGGCCCAGTCACAAATGTAGGTTATATGTTTTCTGTACGGAGAGAGAGAGTACAGTGGAGTACATGACTTGAAAATCTTTTTGCAAATTATGTTTATGTGAGAGGATATTCGAATGACGCATGGCACAGATGCATAGGATTTTATAGTTTTAAAAAATGGTAAATAAAGGATTTGTAGTTTTTGCATTTATTCCACTGCAGATGTTTTTATCAATGCATCACTGCATCTTCAAACTTTGTTCTTTTATTTAAAAAAAAAACAAAGAAAAAAAAGGATGGAAACAGGCATTGCCAACTGGTTCATTAAAAGGATGTTCCTCTGAATATTTAAAAATATAAAAAAGAAAGATTGACATAGTCTATGAAGAAAAAAAAGGGATGCTGGAAGGCAGGATTAAATTTTGTTCACCTTTACCATATTGCAATTAAGATCATGATGAAAAAATTCTTTGATAATTTTAACAATTATCATTCTGTTGCAATAACATGGTACATGTAAGTTTTAAGCTCCTGAAAGATAATAGACCAGAAAATTTCATGAAAATAATTGTGAAAAAGATGCTGATGTATATAGTCTATTCAGGCATCACCTGTGCGTTTGAAGTCTGGGGACGTGTGTAAGGGTAGAGAACTGTCTTTGTGGGAGATGATTACACACCATGATCACAGAGACCAGGATGTGTTATTGTGTGATGGATCCTTTAAGAAGTATGGAGAGCAGCTGACATTACGATTGCTGCACTTTAAAGGCCATTTTCTCTTTAATGTTGTCCATGTGGTTCTACTTCAAAGTTCTTTTAGAAGTTTTTTTTTAAAAGACACCACAACATATAATATTTTCTTCTGCTGCTATCATTGTTTTCTTCCTTCTGTTATATTGCATCTCTTCCACCTTTTTTCTTCAGGAACCTTTGATTTGTATCAACAAAATTCCTTCTGAACATCAAACAAGAGCTGAACATCTTTTTGCTGTTCTTTTAAAATCTATTAACAATTGCTTTTAACCACAGCCGATTTCATCACTTTTTTTAGCAAGTTGGAAGTTAGGGTGTTGGAAGGATATAACAGGCTCCAGTGAGATTGATCGTGATGTTGATCAGCGACTCTTTTCTGTGTTCTGTGCAGACTAGACAGGGTTCCAGTCTTTTGTAACATTTGTTCTGGGTTTCTCGAGTACAGAGCCCTCTTTCATTTGGACCAAGGGTGCTAACTCTGTATTTGCATGCATAGCAGGTGGTTGGAGATGGTGTGTCCTGATAATATTAAAGAGTTTTAGTTTTCAAAATCAACATTGAATACAAGACTGTATGTCTTCCTCGGAACTTTTGTATAAATGTGTTTCACAGACTAGGGTATTTTTCCTCGGGGTTTGTAAAAGTTGAAATATACATTTACTAGTACTTAGTTTGTGCTCCAAAAACAAGTCCATTAAAGTTAGGAAGAAAATCATAAATTTTGGCAGTACATTTATATGTAAAATAATTTTGAATTAAATATTTCATTTGACAGTTGACATTAATTGTACCATACATTGTACCCCAAAAACTTTCTTGGTCTGTAAGTGCATTAGCAACTTGTATCTTGATCGGAACATTAAAAAGACACACTTGATTTTCTTCAGTAATATACATTTAAGCATAAATCATGCCAACATTGATAAAGTTAATTCTGTAAAGAGCCTAGTAAACCCTCTTTTAATATAATTTTAAAGGCCCTAATGTGCAGTAAAATGAGATAAGTAAAAAGTTTTTATATAGAAAAATGAGATAGTTAATAGAAGTGTGCTATATTTTTTTTTTATAGAGGCAATTAAATTGCTTTACTTTTATGATGATAGAAATGTTTTTAAGCCTTTGGAGTGATAAAAACTTTTTTGGGGGTTTGTTTATGCCCTGATTTTTCTCTCCAAATTAGGTCAAATCTTGTCAGATTTCCTGAATGAATGTGGCAGGTGTATACAGCTGCTTTATCTTTCAGGGTGCATTTGACACCCAGGATATAGAGAATAAAAAAAAAGATATTTAGGTATGAAAGCCACACTTCCTGTTTATGCACATATGAATGAGAAGTAAATTAAAAAATATGATGCATGCACAGTTAAAGTCCGCAAGTTTAAGATCGTCCCATTCAGAAAAAAAAATTGATGCGCTGCGAGGTCATGTCCCAAAATTTGTACCAAGTATTTGCGAAGCCGCTGTGTATATTAAGATGGATATTTAGACATAACAGTATGAAGAAATATTACTTGGTGGTGTAAAATTCGAGCTATGACATTCTAAATTGCTGATTTTTGCATAGCTGTGAATTTATTTGATGTTGTATGGTATACTTCTCCAGCTGTTGACCTGCCATTGTGTCTCCCTACACCTGTATTTAAATACGTGTATAGATATGAGTGTACAGTATCGGATGTATTTTTTCTAGATCTTAAGTTATTTATAATTCCCATAATCTTCTAACTTCTGCATACATTAAAAAGCATTACCATATATACTATTTCAAAAAAAAATGATTTATAGAGTTGACATTTTACAAATACTTAGTATACATATATATTAAATGTGTTACTTATTCTGTATCATCTTGGCAAAAAAAGGTGAAATAATATTTTGATACATTAGCCCGGTGTTCCTGAACTTATCTGTAAATGTTGATTGTTTGGATTTTCACAGATATAACATAGCTAGGGTACATAGTGCCAGATCCGAGAGTAAGTATGTATAGCTCAATATATTAGAAACGAATGATCACCAATCCCATTTAATGATATTGTTGCACAATAAATTTGTACTGGAAGCCTATTGCTTTCGTATCAGATATTTGGTATACCTCTATGACAAGATATATGTGCAAGCATGAAACTTGTGTACATTGGCCACTTAATGGAATGCATCTATTGGGATATATTATTGTAATAGCAAACAAATGTATTTTCTGCAGTTATCCATAGGTACCTCTGACCAAAGAACGAACCTGCAGTAATTGAATTAATGAGGTCTGGTATTGAACATTTCAACAACTGCCAAAGTACATTCAGTCCAAATGATATTTATTATAGCAGGGATTAGATCTGAAACCTTGTGGTCGTTAGATCAAACTTTGTTGTATTACTTTCATCTGCATCACATGGAAGATTTAAAGTAAATTCATGGCTGATTTGAATGTTTCACAGATGGAAGACTGACGTCTGTTCATGTTTATAACACAAGTGAATTTGTTTGTTGGGGATAGAGTTATTTCCCCTTGTCTTTTGTCACATGATCATTGCATTTGTACAGATATAAACCTGTTTTAAATCTTCTTAAGACATATTGTCCCAGTAATATTTACCCTATGATTTGGATCATTATTCTTTAAGGCCTGAAATTAATATAGCTCCAAAGGACCTTGTATTTTCTGTATGAAAAAAAAACTTCCTTTTTTATGCCTTTTCATTTTGGTCATTGTTGAACAAATTTAGTATGCCACGAAGCACAATTAATTTTTTTCTAGAGCCATCAAGGGAAGATGATATATGCTGGTCAGATGCCACACAACTGAAATAACCATTAACTCTGTAGAAAAGCTGTGTCTGATTGAAGAGGGTGCATGGATACCATATGAAAGTCTACAAATCTGCAAACATGGAATCACTTAAAAATCAAGTTCTTTTCAGGTCAAGGGTATATCATATAGAGCTGCTTGAGTGAGTGAGTATCAAAGTTCTATAAAACCTGACCAAGTGACTGACCCAAGTACCCTGGTAATGAGAACTGGCGACCCAATGGTTTGATGGCTGTCTGCTGTACGCTGGGTCAGGTTTTACACTGGAGTACACATTGATGGGAGATTATTATTATTTTTTATGAACAGGTGGGAAGGTCAGTGTGATCTTGTTTCAAGAAGCCTAGTTGCTCCGGTTCATCATCCATCTTGGTCATTATTCCAGGGTTCT